GTCCCGTCGGGCCTGGGGGGCTTGTTGTCGCCCTCCACCGGAGGCGCGTTGGAGGCCCGGCTCGGGGACCGCGGTGCCCGTGTGTGCTGCCCTCACCCGCCGTGGCATTTCTCAGGGCACACCCAGGGCTTCACGGTTGCAGGCTGTGCCTGAAGTGGTGTGCAAGGGGACACGGCACAGCAGGCAGGACACTCCAGCAGTGTCCTATCAGGACAGTGGCCTGGCTGCTGGACTCGTCTCTCGGCCTGTGACCTGGGCAGCAGGTGGGGCTGCAGAGGAATGGAGGAAGGCAGCCGTCTAAGGCTCTTCCTCAGGGAGGGGACTGCCGAGAAAACTGGGGTACAATTTAGAGCAGCGCACAGATGGGGAACGGATGCGTTAGGGTCCGCGTAGGAACTCAGCTGCCCGGTGTTCACAGTGTCTTTCTGGGAGCCATGTCTGGCATATCAGTGAAGACTCGTACCCTGTAGGGCAGGCACTGGGCACGTCGGGCAGCCTCACTTGCCTCCACCCACCCAGCCCCCAGGCCCATGTCTCTGGTCTGAGATGGGGGGTCAGCTCCTCACATCTGTACCCACTACTCATTGCTTGCAAGGTGCAGGGACCCGGCATGAAGGCGGCCCTCGTCCACCCCAGAGGCCGGCCAGGCCCCACACAGGTGAGAGAGCACGGTTGAGCCTCTTGGTCCCCACGCTGCCACACAGCCCCCAGGGTGTCACCTGAAGCCCTCTGGGCTCGCTCACTCGTCCTCTTTCCACCCCCTCTCCTCCGCCTTTTTCTCAGTGGAGTTCTGTTCTTCCTTGAGTAGTCTTTAGCCCACTTCTGGAGGTGCAGCACCTCTGAGCGTACTTCTGGTGGCAAACTCGGCTGGAGACGGCGTCTTAGTTCTGCCCACAGGCTTGAGTAACGGCTGGCTGGGCACAGACTCTGGTTAGGAGTTGTTTTTCCCCACTTTGCACATGTTATTGTATTGTCAGCCAGCTTCTGTCCTCAAAAAGCCCACCACTCGGCCTCTCTCAGAGAGTGTGCCCTTTTCTGTGGTTGTTTCTGTTCCTAATATTTTATTGTGTTTTTGGTGGAACTTTACACAGCAGGTTAGGTTCCCATTTGACAATTTCTACACAAATTCACGTTGGTTCCTTTTTGTCTGTAGAGCCAGCATGCTCTGCTGTTGCACTCTGGTTGTCCTAGTTCTGACGCTCGAGTTTCCCTGCTCCCTTCTCATGTGTGCTTTGGGCTGAGTGCTGACCTTTCGGATCCCTGTGGATGTTTTCAGTAGAGCCCCGATCTAAGGGTTAACATCCTTCTTTGTGTGCCACTCTGCTTTGTTGCTAAAAGGTGATCTCAGGATAGTTTCGGTTCAAGATTTGTCCTAGTTCTCCAGTGCCGTTATAACAGATGCCACAAGGGGGTGGCTTTAACAAACAGAAGTTGATTTTCCTACGGTTTAGGAGGCTGGACGCCTGAGGTCAAGGTGCTGGCGATGGAGGAAGCTTTGGTCTCTGTTGGCTCTGGGAGAGGGTCATCATCTCTTCTGCTCCCACCTCCTGGTTTTCTGGAGATTGCCTGGTCCTGTCGTCCTCATCTCTGCTCTTCTTCCCTGTGTTTAATCTCTCCTGTCTGCAGAGAGGTTGACTACGTGAGCACTGCCTCAGTGGCGTCTCAGACAGCTCATTCCCAGATGGGATTTTCACCGCAAGCATTGTGGTTGTCAGGCGCCGTCGAGGTGGCCCCGGCTCACAGTGACCCCGTGGCCAATGGACTGAGGCACTGCCCAGGCCTGTGCCAGCCTCACATCCTGGCTGTGTTTGAGCCCATTATTCAGCCCTGTGTTGGTCCGTCTC